GCCATAGCAGAGAAAAGTCATGCCTGTCAAACATCCCAACGGACGGACACACAATTCAAAAATTCAAAAAAAAGGTAGTTACAAAAAATAAGGCTGAAAATGAAACGTTACAATTAAACATTTAAAATAAACTGAAACCAAAAGCCCAACTACGAAAAATCAAAAAAAAAACCTACGGCCGAATATAAGGGTGCCGCTGGTGTTGTTGTGACGCCCAGTGCCAGCCCACCCTCATTCATGGCTACCGTTGCACCCTAATGTCGGTAGCCCCATTATCAAAGTCCCTACATGCCTTCCTAAATAATGAGTTGAATCAGCATTCCCATTTTATATAACAAATTTATTTAATATAATTAATTTTTCTTAACTCTAAAATAATCCTATTTCTTAAATCTATTTCCTAGCATCTAAAAAGGCGAGTATACTTATGTTATTGTGTAGGTGGTATTGTCTTAAGTCTAGGGTAAGTAAGTATAATGAAGTACAAGTAAATATTTTAATGTTAGTCTAAGGTACTAAACTTATGACATTTATCAAGGGGAATTAAGTCAAGCAGGTAAGTAAAGTCCGGTATGTATGTAAGTAAGGTAAGTCGGGTTGCTATATTTAGGAAAACGAGTCAAATCAGGTAGGTATTCCCCTCAGGGTAAGTATACGTATCAAGGTAAGTCTAGTATGCTAAGGGCCGGTTACTCAATGTCTGGTTAACACTAATCTCCGGTAAAACATCGTTATCGACGTTACCAACTCCATGTTATATGCATGGAGCCGAACACGTCGATAATGATGTTTAAACGGCGATTAGTGTTAACCAGATATTGAGTAACCGGCCCTAAATACGGTAACTTAACTAAACTTAAACTAAATAAAGTCTAAGTAATTTTTTACAGTTCTACTTTTCCTATAGGTATATTCTTATTGATTAGGATTTCGTCCAGGTATTTATATATTTTCTTTAATCTCCTATTTTCTCGAGTCTTTTTAGTTTATTATTATTATTAGTTTTATTATTATTTATTTATATTGCTGTTATTATATAGTGGCCATTGGTTGTTATGATTTTTTAATGTTTATTTGTTTAAATTTATTTTAGTTGCATTTTCGTAAAAGGTTATTTTATATCATATATTTTCTTTTCATTGCATTTTTTGGGTTTATCTATTTATTTAAACTTTAGCTTTATTTAATTTAATTTGATTAAATTTGCTGGTTTGAGTTATTTCAAGTTATTCAAGCGATTTCATACTATTCCTGCCCCATTGTTTCCTTAGTCTAAATTTGTATTCCCTATGTACATGTATGCCTTTATATGGATGGATATATAGGCGTGTATACCTGTATATACATGCTCATATAAGGCCATTTCGCCAGAGAACGTTTATAAATGAGAAGGCGCATTTTCTGTGTGAACTAATTTCTGCCAGAAATTTTGGGGTGCAGTCGGCCAAATATACCCCACGTCGGCTGCCACCATACCAAAAATTTTTTCGTGTCACCACACTTCGGCCAATTGACTATAGAAAATAAGAACGAAACAGGTAAGAGGAACAGCAAGATAATAAGCACTGGGCAGAGGGGATGCTTGCGGAGGCGAGTGTGTAGCATAGTTCAAAGCAAAACGAAAAATAAAAACGAATAACAAAAGAGAAACAAAAATCTGGGCAGAGGGGGTGCTTGCGGAGGCAGGCGCGTGCTTGTGTCGGATGAAAACAAACTCTAAAATAAAAATGGAAGTGAGAACGACAAGTGTACTGAAAGAAGAAGCGGGAAAACGGGGAAAGGAGCGGGCTTTTGTACATTTGCTTGCTTGCCGAAAATATGATATTTGCGTGAAATCGATTTGCTGATTGCAAATTCATTTTTGCAAACATGTATGAATTTTTCTGTTTCAGCAAAACATGTATGCATATTTCTATTTCAGCTAAGTTGATAAGATTTTCTGAGGGAAATAAGATTTTCTGAGGGTATATTTTCCACAATCCATACGTACATACATATATCTATCCACATATATGTATATATACGTACATACATATATCTATATATTGGAGCATTTCATGAAA